CCTACTTCCGTAGTGATACTGCCTCGGAAACCCAAGGAGGGGTCGCTATGAGTCGGGTTTGACTCGACGGCACATAACAACAACAACAACAACAGACCTGCAGAGTACAGGGTTGCAGGGACAGGAAGCAAAAGTTTTATGAGTGGGTCACTTGGAACAATAGAGCATGGTGCCACTCCCATTTGTCCCCCTTGATCCCTGGACCTGTGAATCCTGGCTTTAGGAGATACAGCACCATATACTGAACACTGGCTTAAAGCACATATAGCCTCCTAGAGAATACTGCCCCAACCCTACAAGGTACTGCCACCTAGCTAGCACCATAACTGTGTCCTCAGGAGGCCATTCCATAGTTCTATCAAGCCAGCTGCATCATGATGATGGCGAAAATGTTAAGACCAGTGAACTCCACGAGCATGGGCCCCTTGCTACACTTCCGTTGCTGTGAAGTGAGTCCTTCCACCCAAGGCAATGCTATGTGAGATATCATGACAGTGGATAAGGTATTAAGTCCACAGACAGTAGTTTTGGCAGAAACACTGCATGCAGGGAAGGAAAATCCAAATCCAGAGTGTTTACCCTAATTAGAACAAAACACTGCCCTTTCTATGAGGGAAGTGGTCCAATGTAATCAATCTGCCACCAGGTTGCTGATTGATCACCCCTAAGAAAAGTGCCATATCAGAGACTCAGTGTTGGTCCCTGTTGCTGGCAAACTGGGCACTGAGCAGCAGCTGAGCCTTGGTGAGTAGAAGTCCATGCTGCTGAGACCATGTATAAGCTCTCTGCCTCGACCATGGCCACATTATTCATGAGCCTATTGGGGCAAGAGTGGCTGGGGAAAGAGGATAACTAGCTACCACAGAATACATCATTCCATCCATTTAATTAAAATCCTCCTTTGCTGAGGTAGCATAGTGCCTAAGGCATCTGACTGCTAACCAGAAGGCTGGTGGTTCAAACCCACCAGCCACTCCTCAGAAGGAAGATTGGGTGATCTACTTCCATAGGGATACTGCCTCAGAAACCCAAGGAGGGGTCGCTATGAGTCGGATCCAACTCAACCACAGTGAGTTTGATTTTTTGTTTCGTTTTGCTGAGGTCACCCTTTGGTGAGCAATCACATGAGACACAAATATATGCACTTCTTTGGTGCATTCAAAGAAGCCCATCAATATACCTCTCCCCCACACTTTCTGGTTACTAATTTTCCAATCATGCTCCTTCCAGCTCCCTAATCATCCAAACCACTGGCCCAAGCCTTTGAATCACTGCACATTGAACATCTGGCCATTTCTCCCTCCAAACAACGTGAACAACCGGATGCACTGCTCCAAGCTCTGCCCACTGGAAGGGTTTCCTTCACCACTGTCCTTCAGGGAGGTCCCAGAAAAGGGCTGGAGTGCCACTGCTGTCCACTTTTGAGTGGTGTCTGCGTATCGCACAGAACCATCCGTAAACGAAGCATGAGTTTTCTCTTCCTCAATCAACTGATCATAAGGAACTCCCCATGAGGCCATAGAGGACTGGGAGAGGGAAGGTAATGTGACTGG